CTGCTGAAAATATTCCAAGTGCTCAGTGCTAGACTCCTTGCTGGAGCAGCTAATTACTCATGGAGTGGCACTTGTCAAAATGCCATCTCGCTACTAGGTAGAAATCCTCCCCTTGGGACTGCCTCCAAGCCCATTGGCCAGCCTGGGTGGGAAAAACTGCCCTCTTTCTGTCCAGTCTGGTCTGTTCTGAGCTCTAACCACACATGAAGCCTACAAGTATTTCCTCTTCCCCTCCCTGGCCTTCATCCCACATCCTCAGGATGAAATATGATGCTTTGGGTATAAAGCAAATATATTCATTTTGTTTCTAAATGGTCAAATACTCATATGAATTTGTGGAAAGACATCAACTGCACTGGGCCAGGATTGAGCCCAGGGACAAATGTTAGAATAACCTCAACTTTATCATGAACTTAGCAATATGCTCTGACAATTGCTTTCCCACCCAATGAATTCCTCAACGCAGACTCACTAGAGACAGGAATTCTAGAATGCACAAATTGGGAAAAATTAGCACATAAATACCAGATCAACAATAATTATTTTAAAAGCCAGAGGCCACTGATGAAAGAGGCAGAAAGACTTCCAATGAATAGGAATAGAGTCTTGGAGACCAGGGAGACAGGAGAAAATAATCCCACTGTTGGTTTTTTTGGAACCTGAAAATGACATCTCAAAAAATGAAGGAAAAAAATACAGAAGAGAGGAAAGGTTGAGCAAGGAATACAATAAAAGGAATTAGAATTAAAGAAAAAGACATAAGTAACTGGGATGCTTTTGAAAGCATCAATACACAATTTTGAATGCAGTGTAAGGCAAATTTTAATTCATATTACTAGGTTTCACAGAGTCATAAGGTTAAATACATGATACATTATTTGTGTCATCTTTCCAGGATAGCCAGTCCCAAGGATGAGAAGTAAAAGTTCAGAGAGAAATTTCCGTATTGATATGGAATGAAACACTCTAAAAAGACTAAAGAAAAAGATCTGAAGAATTCTGGTCAAGATCTTGACCTGGTTGTTCTAAGAACAGGAAGATTAATGGGCTTTGCTTCAATTTTTAGGGTGATACAAAACCAAATACAGCTATAAAGGACAGAGTTTGAAGAGAAAGGAAAACAGCATTAAGGGCATGTATTAACAGAGGCTGGCAATGTACCATTCTCTATTATGTCTCTATTTTAAGAGACAAAAAAGGGAAAGGATAAATCTTTAGAAGCCCACATACAGTGCTTTGGGATATTTCTTGATGAAATAACACATGTAGTTGAAATTAATAAGGTGATGAGTGACAGAAAGGTGTTGTTAAGATTACAAAAAAATTCCTTGTGATGAGCAAACATAAGGAGAGATACTTTCTGGGAGATGGAAGAGTTTCTGTTGTCAAAACAATTAAGAGTGGAGTGGAGCTACAGATGGGCCAGAAGAACAATATTATATAAAAGCAAAACAGCAAAAGAGAACAAAATTGTTTGAGTCATGAGCACGGAAAGGACATGAGAAAAGGGATCTTGGAAAGGATAAAGCAAAGACATTGAAAATGACTCAGAGAATTATTGCCATTCTGAGCTGCTGGAGCAGGTTGAGGGTGAAAGCAGCACCATTGCTCAGCAGCCCACAGGTAGGGGTGGGCTTTGTGACAGCAGCCAGGGGCTTGGACCCCAGAGAAAGCAGGGCATGAGGGGTTGGAATGGGGAGCAAAGGCAGTCAGGGCATATGGACAAAGTGTAAGGAATGACCAGAGGGGAGGAAAATTTGTAATCACTACAAGGCTCTCTTCACACACTAGGATGAAGCAGCTTTGCATTTCTTGGTTGTCAGGAAGGGAACAGAAATCCTCCGGCTGCTGGCGTGTGCCTGGCTGCTCTGCTCCCAAGGAACTGCTGTTACAGATGAGCTTTGCCAGAGCATGTTTGCAGCAGCATGAAAGGTGCTTGGTTTAGCTTATATGTGTCCCTGGTATTGAACTTCACTTGTGCTTGCAGGATGCTGTAGACAGGGTGATGCTATGGACAGTGTGGGCTGTGTATTGGCACTGTTCTCCTGAACCAGGGCAAACAATTTCAGGCTTGGCACAGAAGTTTTAGAAACAGTTTTAAGAGAAGCTTGTTTCATCTTCCCAGCAGTCACTGCTAATACCAAAGGGGCACCATGCCAAGACTGGATCATCTCATAATCCAACTAATCCCATTATGCCAAGCTTTGTGTGGTTCCTGAGTTTGGTAGCAGTCTCCAAAATCACTCTTTTTAAGTACTGATTGATAACCTAGTATGGGCTGATCTGAACAAAGTGCTCTGACCCTTTAATATTTTCCTCCTCATAAAGCAATTTAGCAGAAGCTGAAGCAGATTTTTTTTAAAAAAAAAAAACCTATAGCTTCTTGAAAATATTTTATATCCAATACCTGCATCTTCTTTCAGCTCATCCAAATGCAGCTCCTCACCAGTGGAGGTCACATTCATTGTGGCTGCTGTTGTACTCTCCTGCTGCTCCTCTTCCGAGGCAAGCGCCTGCCCCACGGGAGCTGGAGGGTTGCCCTGCGTCGCTCTCGTGGCATCATCACCAGTGCAGGCTTTGCCCTCGGTATCTGAAACACAAAATCATTTAAGCTTAGCTCAGCCATGAGCAGTGAGCACTGAAAATGCCTGCTGTCCTCTTGAGAAGAGTCATCTCCAAGCTGGTAGTGCTCAGGGGACTGAGATTTGTCTAAGAGCAGCACCTGATCTCTAACACCATACAGTGTTAGACGTCTAACAGTGAGTGTGAAGCATCTGCAATACAAAATGTGTGGAGACAAGCCCACCTGGAGACTAATATCCACCCAGTTTTCTGAGTGGGGCCCTTTTTCCTGGGGGCATCCAGCAGCCAGGGCAACTGCCTGTTGTGCAGGTACAGGAAGGCCACTGGAAGCACCTGCTGCGTGGGAGCTGAGCACAAGGGTGGGAGGCAGAGGGCTCTGGGGAAGGCAGCTCCCCAGGACAGAGCCCAGGGTGCAGTGTGTTCACAGGCCACTCATGTGGGAGCCGTGGCTCCTGCAGGACACGCTGCCAGCCCAGCTGCCCCGGCAGGAGTGCCACAGCCTCACCAAAGACAAGGCTGCCAATATTCCCTACCAAGCTGTAGGTTCTGAGCACAGTTTTAGCTACTCAGCTTTGAAAAGCACGTCTTGTGTGATTGAGCTGATCAGAAATTCAAATCCCTCTTCATGCAGACCTAGAAACTGCTCCCTTTGCTTACTCTGAAAGATTTTTGTGCCCGTGGTCCCTGCAGCTGTACGCATCTTGATGACTGAAGCTTTTCTAGTACTCGCCTATTCAGGCAAGTGTCCTCAGAATACAAACCATCCTTTTACTCATGTCTCTCTCAGAATTTACATCATCTACATCACTGCTGCAAACCAAAGACAGCAATTGCTTCCCGCTCTAGCCAGCGTTCCACAGTGATGGACATGTCTGCTGTCCACCCCTGACCTCCTTGCTTATATTTCTCAGCCCTAGGCACTCCTTTCTGGAAGCTCCTGACAGAGCTATGTTTTCTTGCAATGATATCATGACAAGTTCCTTGAACATTGATTTAAAACAGTTAGCATTCACAGCTACCCCTTCTTCATACTATCTGGACAATCTGCAGAGTAATTTATTGTGCTTTTGGGTTGGGGTATCAGATTTTGGCCCGGAGATGCTGCAGAAGGGATGCAGTATTTTTGTACGCTGAGCTCACTCAGTCTGCCTCATAATCACGTTTGGTGAAAAGTTACTGTTCTTAAAATAGCCCTTGCAGTAGCACAGTTGCTATGATACAGGGAAGGGGAGGGGGAAAAAGTTCATTGCCTACATTTCATCTCATTGCCTACATTTCATCTCATTGCCTACATTTCAGCTCATTGTGAAGGCAGCCTATACATAATCATCGAGGTATTAACATCTGCCTGCATTATTTGACAGGCAGCCTTCATCTCTCAGTGCTGTAGGTATAGGTACATCTGATCAGTTTTGTGCTCACAATTGGGAGAAATATCGGGGGAAGCTCCTTAAATGTTTTTGAGATAACTCTGCTTTGCACGTTCCTCACATCCTTTGGAAAGGCAAGCTGCTGACAGCTGCAGCACACTGGAACTGCAGTCAGAGGCAGGAGTTTCTTCAGATCCCAGGCAATGGAAAGTGTGTGACTAATGAAGAAATGACAAGCAGGAGACACTTCTGTTGAAGAATTTCTGTTGAGGACTATCTGAGACTCACAACAGTGATGTTCCTGGTCAGAAATGATTCAGTTCATGCTTAAAGAAAAGTGGGTGTGCCTCTCTGATTGGTCCCAACATCACAGTTTAGAGATCATCCAGGGACAGGAGAAAGCACAGACCTTCAGTCCTCTGGTAAGGGAAGCAGCAGAGTGTTTATTGCAAAGCAGTCAGAAGAAATAGGTCTGTAATTTTGTTGGGAATGGATCCTGCACTCTGGAACTTCCTTACAGGGTGCAAGTTGGTTCCCTAGGGTGAAGGTGTGTTTCAGGTTCAGGAGTTTTCCAGAGGCAGGTTAGCATTTGCCCTCTGCGAACAGAGCTGGAGAGGAGAGCAGGACAAAAGGAGCCCAGGCTGGGCAACTGCAGGGCCTGTCTGGGCAGCTGGGTTTTGGGGTTGTGCAAGGAGAAAGGGTGACATAACCTGTTAGGATGACTCATCATCAAAGCAAGGACAGTGCAATTCCACCCTGGGCTGCCTACAGACTGATGCAGATCCTGTGCTATCTTTGTGGTTTGCTCTGAGCCAAACAGTGCCAAAACGCTGCTTGAGAGACCTTCTGCTACAGAACTGGAGTGTGACACAGCTATCGTAAATGCATGAAGCAGATCTGGAGTTTCCTCAGACTGCAGCTTCATCCCCGTTTGGGCTATTTATGAAAGAGAGCAGGAATTGGGTCCCTGGGAGTGGAGTAGAGCCTGATGAAATAGAGGGATTTTAGGATTTACTGTAGTCTTTTCACACAGTATTGCTGCTGTGCCACTTACAACTTACTGCATCAGCGAGGACTTAGCCTTGAAACTGCTGCTGCTTCAGCTCAGTCCAAGTAGGGCACGAATCATTTGCTGAGAATTATTTGGGTCAAATTTTTATTCCAGTTAATAAGCTGCTTCTACTAATAATATAATAAAATAACCCTGGAGATTCACAGCACTCTGTAAAGAAAAATAACTTGCAGGTGGCTGCAGTGTCCTTCAACTGACTGTTAGCCATTCTTTCCTTTTGGGGCAGAGAGTGGTACTGCAAATTTGCTTGATGTTTATAGGAGCTCTGAGCTCCTATATTTATTTCTTTAAACCATTATTTTTTTAAATGACCTTGCAACTTAACATCATCTGTTTTCCTCCCAACCAGTTCTTTATGCATGCAAGAGGTTTAGTGATTCATTGTTATTATTACTCTTTAATGTGCTCTACAGCACATGCTTTATTTTACTGTTCTTTTGCAAAGCTCTAAATATCCATGTCTTTAAATTCATGAATTATGGGAACCATTCAGACTCCTAGCAGAAACAGGGGGCATTTTTCTATCCAATAGTGCTAATACGTTTATAGGGCAACTAATTTTCTAGAATTGTGAGAGACACAAAGAGTTCAATGGCCAGGAAATAAAAATGAGCTTTCTGAAAACTTCAGTTGTAGAATAAACTGATTATTTGACAGATTTTTTTTTTTTTAACCTGCACATAAAACTTATATTAAAATATATCCAATAAAATAATATTTAAATTGCTTTACTGCAATGAAAAAAAAGAAAAAAAAAGAAATCCTGTTTAAATGCTCTTTTTCTGACTCTTCAGTTGCTCAGTTACACTCCAGCATCACTGACTATCATCCCACAGGCTATTTATAGGCATGGCATTTGTTTTATACAAAGTAACTCAATTATTAATTTGAAAGAACATAATTTCTATCTACTAGATTGGTCAAACTCAAAAGGCCAGGCTTTCTTCATGTAGATACATTCTGGTATGAAGTCTTCAAAGTAAAGATGGATTTATTTTATCTCTCTATGTGGAAATAGAAACTGGGATGTTGTCTGTAACACTGGGAACTCACTGATCTTGCAGAATAGTCACCTAGGTCTCTGTCTCCCTTGAGCATCTGTCGGGACTGTACAGAGCCAGAGTCCTTTGTGCATGCTTCTGATGCTTTATCACCTTTCCTTCAATGGCTTCTGCTGAGCCTGGTTTGTACTCAGGAAAGCTTTAAAACGACATGACCAAATGTTTCACTTTTCCATGTGAACAAAAAATAGGCAAAAGGCTAATCTGCTCTGTCACAAATTTGGTTTATCAGAAAGACAGATGAAAACTTCAGATTAGTATCGTGATATGAGATTTGGATTCATTGGTTGCACACTTCATCTGAATGCATTGGAATGTTTAAGTTTATATTTTTACCAGCTTTTGGTGACTTTCTTGGCAGTAGGATTTAGCTCAGTTTAGAGCAATTGCACAAAACATACGGACTAGCTCAGATTGCACCATGTATCAATCAGGCAAAGATGGAGTTGCATTCAAGATGGTAAAGCATCAAAAATTAAACTGTATGGATTGATTGCATCAGGGAGGAACTTGAAGAAAGAAATGCTTAATTCAGATACTGATATTTCCTCTGTGTTTGGATTGAAGGTTTTCCTTTTTATTCATTTGATTATTGGGTTTCTTCTTGTGCAATTATGTGTTTTTATTGTACTGAAAAAGACTTTGATAAAAAAGATGAATTTTTACTTACCTTGTTCCATCATCTCCAGAAGGCCTTTTTTAATGAGTTCATCCCGACCTTGTCGTGCCGTCATCTTCTTCTCCAGCACTGCACAAAGTAGTAGCATAAGACAGCACCAGTTAAGAGCACGGTATTCATAGAATGGTGTGAGATAAATGCAATGTGGAAACTCCTCCTAGTCTCAACTGCTGTGTGCTGGGAAAGAACTGCAAGGACTTTGTTTTGGGGTGCATGGACTGGGTAGGCAGTCTGTGCCTTTTCCTTTGTTAAAACAGCTGTAAAATCACCCACGTGTAGAGCTGAGATTTATGATTTAACCTACTGTCTGATCACAGTGAGGCAGAGTAACGGGGATATTGGAGCCCTCACGCTGTTTCATTCAGCACGTTGGAGCTGCCTCAGGAAGCAGTGGCTGGTGTTGCGGTGCTCCACAGGACAGCAGGGCAAGTGGAGGGAATTGCACCATCTTGTCTTAGGAAAAGGCAAGTGAGTTGGTCTCCTAACTGATCTCCTGGGCCATCCCCAGGGACTAGCAAGAGCATGCAGTGCTGTGTGCTGGGCTCCTTCACCACAGAGACAGCTGCTTGAGGGAAGGCATTTTACATGCTGCAGCTCCTCCTGTCACTTTTCATAATGTTACTGTGACCTGTATAAGCTTCACTCCAAATAAAAGGGGTGACGATACTTGGGGCCATAAATGTAGCCTATCTGGGAGAAGGAACAGCCCATGTAAAGCAGTCTGTGTCGAGGGTTGTGCTTCACTCTCGTATTTTGACCTTTTCTTCTGAATGTACTGTACAGTATTATACAGGGAGTCAGCCTATGCAGGCTCTGTCTAGCCTTAAACATCATTAATCTGTAACATGCTGAAATCTCTGAATTAGGTTTAGATCAGGTCACCATTCATGTTTCCCGTGTAAGCAAATTTTGCTCAAGCTAAGCTTTGCCCTGTGCAGCATCACTCCTTGTTCTCCTCCTACCTGCAGACGTCTGCTTTAGCTTCTCGTTTTTCTTTTTCCGCCACTTCCATGGTTTGAAGATCCTGCCCAGTGTGGCCAGTTTGCTGTTCCTCCTCACGGGCGGAGTCCGAATCCCTGAGACCAAGTAGTCAGAACGCACTGCAGGGGACTGCTCCATCTCATCTGAGGGCAGGGAGGAAAGCCAGGCGTTAGAGAGAAAGCTCCAGCGTAGACTTCAAAGGGGGAGGGAAATGGAGGCTTGGCAGATGACAAGCATTTGGTCTAGTTGACAAGAAAAGCAGTGCAAGACTCTGAAAGGAAGTCTCTGCATTGCTAGAGCTGGCAGCCAGTCTGAGGGATGCCAGCTAGAGAGGTGTTCAGCTTCACTGTGCCAGCCTGGTGCTTCCTACCAGCTGCTCTCTTGACTCTGGTCTTGCACAGCACCCGTCTGGATGCCAAATATTTCAGTATCTCCACCACTGCCAACCCTCATGGGGGCTGTTAGGCCCATAGAGAGGGGAATGTGTTGAATGTCTACATCCTATACTTTATTCCATCACTTTCCTGTCTTTGTCCATGCTTGGAACTCACCAAGGTAGTGGTGTTAGTCCCATGGGCTGCATGGAACAGCCTTACAGCACTCTGAAACGTGGAGAGCTGAGAGCTCCCAATAGCTTTAATAGGAGCAGGAGAAATTTAACACATCTGTAAATCAGGCCCATGTAGCCTCCAGTTAATCACGTAAATGTAATGTTCATTTAGAAAAATTTAGACCTTTATGAAAAGCTGAGAAGAAGTGTAAGAAAGCTCAGGTCCCTTCTGAATTCCCAGCTTCAAGTTATATTCTCAGTCCACAAGATATTGCTGCCTTTTAAATGAACTCTTTTCACATAAGCTAACACAGAACACACTGACTTGTTTGAGCTAATGCAAATGTTTTATTTAAGAATATTTTGTTTGATACATGCTACCTAAGTAAAATCTTAGCGCTATTGTACAAATTTATTCCTTGAGGAAGCTAAAGGGAAAAATTTTTCCCTTTTGTCCAGCCAAGCCACAGGAATTCAGAGATAATGTTTCAGCTGGAAAAGCAATTTAGGGTTTTTTTTAACATTTTATCTTGAAAATACACTGTAAGTTTTGCTTATAGGCCAGTCTTGCATGAAACAATGCATAGTTACTATTCAGTCGTGTGCCAGCCAGTACCATGAAAGAAAGTCACACAGTTCCATAAATGGGGTTATTGATGTCTTCACTCAGATTTTTATTTGAGCACCAGTACAGTGATTGTTAAAAGGGAACTTGACATCAGTCATCAGACAAGCTACATGAATAAAAACTGAATGACAATTTGGCTTTTTTTCCCAAAAATCAGGTATGATTTAAATGAGCAATGTGGAGCTAGGAACACACGTACATTTCCAAGTAATTACTCTCTGGAAAGACAACATTTATCCTAAGTTGCTTTATGACTGCAAGATAAAAACGATACAGCATCTTCTGGGTTTTGTTTTTAAGTTAACAGGGTGAAAATGCTTAACTCACAGCATAGAGGTGGGGATTTCCGAGTAAACAGGAAACAATTTTAGGAAGATTATTAAACACAATGGGGGAATGAACACATTCCTCCTCTTCCATTTAATTTTGAAAATACTGGTAATGGTGATGAATCATTCAGTGTAGACAAACTAAAAACTTGGCCACGTGAACTATCAGAACAGGAAAAATGCTGTAACACTCTCCCCCCGCGCTTTGCGTGCCCAGTGACTTTCTCTGTGTACTGAATTTAGAGTATCTTTTGTCTCATTCCACAGAGTTTATCTTGGGATTTAACGTAGAAGATATTTAAAATGCACATAAAAATATTTTTTTTTGCTCTTGAAAGAATGGTGTCTATCCAAAGTGGCATTTACAGTTTACAGTCTGGAGGTCAATACTGAGGGCAGAAGCTATCACTGAGCCTAGCCCAGAAGGATGGTAGTAACCCACAGGCCACAGCTGGAGTGCCAAGATACCACGCTCCTTTCCAAACTACATACTCAAAAATTAGAAGTATCACAGAAAAAAGCTTTGAAGAGGCAGAGGTATTCTTCATTACAGAGAATGGAAAATGGCAGAGTAGATCTGCTATTAATTTGCTATTATGATTAAAGCTGTAATAGAAGCCTCACAAAATAGCATTTGGTCATTTCTTGTTCCATCCTTTGAGTGGGAATGGAAATGTTCACAAAATTAGCTCATCTCAAAAGAGCTGTAGATCAGACCCTTGCCCCTGGAAGCTACAGTGGAATAGGACAGCCTCAACTCAGCCATCCTGGTCCTTGCTTGTAAGACTGCAACGATGCTCAAACACTTCCTACCAGTCCAGGAATTTCTCAAGCATGTAAGTGAAGATTAAATTAGAAGCTGATTTAAAGCAGTACCTTGGCAAGTTGCAATTGCATTACATTCAGGATGTAGGTGTCTGAAAAATGGTTTAGGTATCATCCACATGTTTTGTTTAACCCTGGTAGCATGAGATCATTTTACCTTTTTTGCAAGATAACAGGGGATGTAGAGAGAACCAGGAAGTCATTCAAACACAAATCTGTGTTTCTCTAGCAATGTTTATTATCCCAGAGATTCCCCTAAGAAAGAGAATGGGGAGATACTGCAAAGGCACTGAGAATTCCCCAAGTGCCCTGTAGTGATCTGTGCTTCTGTAGTTTACTAGCTTCATCTGATGGATTTCTTCCAGCCCTTTCTGCCCTTTTGATTGTGGAAATGTAAGAATTTTATGCCTTAGACTTTGGTTACAGATGAAATACAGATAGAAATCAAATTAAAAAGAAGGAATAGTAGCTAAAACAAATGTTCCACTGGAGGTTTTTATGGGCTTTTTAACTTTATTAATGCTTCTCATATGGTACAGACAGTTCTTAAGCAAATGATTTTATCACCTGGTACATTCTCACCATATGCAGCTCCTACACTGTGCATTTGGAGAGATGGACACAAATAAAAATAGATAGAGACACAGTAAGACAGATGTCCTGAAGTCATAAATAACAAGGAAATGGTCTCACTGGCAATAAGAATCACAAGAAAGCCCTCAGAGGTCCTCATTTCCAGTCAATTCATTTTTCTTCATTGTGGGCTAGCTGCTTGGGAGATAAGCAGTTGACAGCACAAAAAGCAGTTCCCACGTACAGCAATGAATGCTGAAGGAGAAGGCACACCTAAATATCAGCCAGTTCCTGCAGCCAACAAGCTGCTGAGGCTTGCCAGCCCTCCAACCACTCTGTGAAATATTCAGCACATTTTTTTAATCTGCAGTCAATATTTTAATTATGCTAACTGTTCTGTGGAATAATGTGGTTATTTCTCCCAGAGACTGAGAGCCTGGGGCCAGGCCGTGCAATTACGTAGAGGATACTTGCAAAATATAAACAGCCAAGAGCCAAATCAAGACTTTCCAAAGTAGCAGGGAGAAATGAGCAGCAGTAACTAGCTGTGTAGTGGAGAAGGATGAAGGACAGTTGTTATACAGGATCAAGCAAGCACAAGCTCAACACCCAGCACAGCAACCAAACCCTATCCAACACGGGTATCACTGCTGAGACAGACCAATTGGTCCCACACTGCCCCAGAGGGGGACAGTCACCAGCCCTGTGGTGCCAGAGGATTTTCCTCTAACTGAAGCTTGTTGGCTGTTTATATCAAAATTACTTTCAAGTCTCTGCTGTACCCTGCTGAGGGCAGAGGCTTCTGTGCTAGGGCTTCAGATCCAAAACAAACTCCTTCTATATCACACGATTGTCATCTGCTCCATGTCAAATGGGTGGAAATTAACGTGGCTGTATCCCTGCTGATGAAGCTGGGCATGTGCTCCCCCCTTACAATGCTAGCTGGGGGAGTTTCTGGAGCTCCTAACAGTGGTCAAGAGTGTGAATGGTTTGATGTTTGAGATATCGCAAATCGGATGAGGGGAGAGGTTCTGACCTGAGGGATATTGCTCTGCAGAACTGCTCTGAGCTGCAGAATAAATCAGGCAACAGAGACGAAGGAAGCAAACCCTAATCTTCATTACATGTGGCTGCAGTGTCTGACCTCTCAGGAAGCCTGAGCATCTGCAGCTTCTCTTTACAGCAGCAGTTGTACTCAGGGTTTCTGAAAAACACCCCACTGCTTTCTTCTTTAAAAGACTGTGATGACATAAATAGGCTACTCTTCCTGTTAGTCCTGTCTCTATAGGAATTGTGTACGGATCATGAAGTTTTTCTGCACATAGAAGCTCTCACATTTACAGATGTCAAGTCCTGACTCTGTCGCGTCCAGCCTCCCACAGAAGTGGGGCAGATTTGCTGGAGTTCTGTGAAGTTTGTGTGCTGGGTGTGTGATGGCAGAGTGCCCTGTGTCTGCACACAGCCTTCCTTTGTATGGCAGATGGTTTCAGTGCTGAGACAATCATGTCTGAGTGATAACCATGCTGTGAAATGAGCATTGGGTCAGTCTTGGGTTTTTCATTATGACCCAAAGAGTTTGCAGCTTGGTATCTGGGTGGCTGATAGCAACAACAGGCTGGACTCCCCAGGCTGCT